GTCCCCGGGCGGCTGCCTGCGCCTGCTTGGCCCGCGCCCGCGCCCGCCGCCGCGACGGCCGCGCCGCCGCCGACCGCCTTCGCGAGCGCCTCCTGCGCCGCCTGCCGCAGCGCCTTGGGCTCCAGCGCCGCCGCCGCCGCGGCCACCTCCCCCGCGCCCGCCGCAGCCGCGAGCGCAGAGAGCAGCGCGCCAGCGGCCTCGCGCACGGGCGCGGTCTTGTAGCCGGCGCCGAGCGCGGCGCCGCGGACGGCGGAGCGGAGGCCTTCTGGGGAGACGCCCTTGCCGGCGGCGGCGGCGGAGGCCATCCAAGTGAGGGCCGCCTGCATGCCCTCCCCAACGCACTTGGGCGAGCCCATCACCTGGGGGTGCCCCGGCAAGAGGGTGCGTTTGTGTATGTGTGTGTGTGTGGGTATGCACACGCGTGCGCGTGGGTGCGTGTGTGGAAGAGGGGGGGAGCCCTTGACCTGCCGTACGCAAATCAGAAGGTGGGATGCTGGGCGCGCTTCGCCCCGAGCCGAGCGCGTTTCCGCAACCTCTGGGAACGCACTTGCCCGCGGCCCAAACCGCGCGCGCTGAAGCTTGGAGGCTGCGGTCCCGCGTCCAGCTGCCACGCTCCGCCCCGTCCTCACTGCCTTCTCAATGCGCATCCCCCAGCATTAGCCCCCGCCGCACCTCCGCCGCCTCCTCGAACAGCGGCTCCGCAGGCGCCACCGCCACCCAGGCCTCGGCCATCTCCACCACGGCGTTGCGCACCTGGGGAGGGGGGGCGGGGCGGGGCGGCGGTTAGCGGCGGTTGGCGGCGCTTGGTGGACAGGGGAGTATGGCATCACACTCGACAGTGGGAGAAGGGGGGATGTAAGGAGGCGTTTGGCGTGCTTGGTGTGGGGCAGCGCGTGCCGGCGCGCGCGACTTGTTCCGAGCGGTGGGCCCGGAAGAGGCAAGTTCTTGGTACACAGGGGCTGCGGGGCCTGGCAATATGGCAGGGCGGACCCAGTGCGTGCGTGCTTGCGTGTGCACTCTCACGCACACACACGCACAGACCTTCGTGTGCATACACAACATACGTGCCTATCAATTCGCGTTCAACCACACCCTCGCGCCCGCGCACCATGTTCTTGGGGTCTGTGAGGCACTTGAAGGCCGCCACCAGCACGCAGCGCCCCTCGCGGTTGATGGCCCGCCCCATGGCCTTGGCCAGCTTCGCCACGAGGCCCAGGGCCTGGGGCCAAGAGCAGTGGGTGAACACCAGATGTGACGTCAGAGTCAGAGCAGCCGGGCCGTTGCAAATGATGTGCTCCGTCAAGCCGTCGCAGGGTAGGCCGATTACTGCTGCCCCACCACAACTGCCCAGCCGCCGATGGCGTGCCGACCCTGCACACCTGGGCCGCATGCTGTGGACGCGCCCGGCGCCTCCGGCGGCCAAGCAGACCCCGCTGCAGCCCCCTCCCCACCTGCAGCCCTGCATTTTTACCCCAGCTCCGCGCCCTCCGGCGTGCCGGCCAGCTTGTACCCTGGCTGCAAAACCCCACCCTGATCCCCAAGGCCCCACACCTGTACGGCCAGATTGCGATTGGTGTCTGCCATCCGGGCCTTGAGCGCCGGGAACAGGTCCCCGCCCACCTGAGCGGTACCGGGCGGCGGCGGCGGGGGCGGGCGTCTTGTCAGTCGGCCGGGCCGTCCTTGCTGCGCCCGCTGCCTGCACCCCCACAGAGACCCTTTGACGGCCCCCACCGCGCCCAGGCATTCCCCACGCCCGCACGCCGGAGATCCGCGTCGACGCGTGCCCTTCGCCCAATGCAAGCAAGCCGGGGGCGCGTCCCCAAACATAAGACGTCCGCCGCCCGGCCGCGTCCCGTGGGTTCGCGCGCGCTCACGTTCGCCTGCACCCGGCCGCCCGCCGCGGCGATCGCGGACTCTATCTCGTCCAGCGCCGCCTTGCGCTCCTTCCAGTTGGCGCTGCCCAGCTGCGCCACGGGGCCCGCGATGGCGCCGCTGATGTCGGCGCGCGGCAGGAGGTCGTCCATGGAGGGGGGCTCCTCCGCCGCTGCGGCGGCGCCTGGGCGGGGTTTGGGGGAGGGGGCGGGGGTGGGCAGCTGCTTGGGCTTTCCGAGGGTGGGGTGCGTGCCGCTCGATCGTGAGAGAGCGCCGCCGCAGGCACCCACCTCAGGGTGTGATCCGGCAGGCACCAGCAGCGCCGCCAGTATGAGCTGCCGATGTACATTACGAAGCAAGTGTGCACATGCAATGCAGCATCACCCCTTTGCCCCTGACCTCACCTCCCCTGCCGCCCCGGGCCCTGCCGCCGCCCCCGCCCCCGCCGCCGCCGCCGCCCGCCCTGCTCGTCCGCGCGGGCGCGAAGCTGCCGGGCGGCTGCTGCAGGCACTCCTTGAACTTCTCCTCGATGGCTGTCATCAGGGCGGGCTTCACGTCGGCCCTCAGCATGTCACCAAGCGCGGGCCCCAGGAACGAGTGCATGGCGCCGAGCTGCCAGGATGATCACGCAGAGAGGGGCGGCGGCGACGTCAGGGCGGGTGCGCTCGCAGCGGCTGCGGCAGCAGGACGGCGTTGGAGCTACATGCACGCGCAGACGGCAGACAGCAGCAGCGGCTCGTCAATGCCGAGCTGTCTAACAGGGGTCCCAAAACAAAAGACGCACCAGCGCGATGGCGGCCGTGCGCGTTCCAGCAACGGAGGAGCCCAGGTCTGCCTTCGTCCAGGCCAGCAGCGCGGGCACGTCGAAGGGGGCGAGCCCAAAGTCCTGGATGGAAGCTGTGAGGAAGTTGAGCGTCTCGGTCAGGACCTGGGGCGCGGAGGCAAGCACAGGAGGGGTGCGTGAGAGGTACTAGGTTTTGGCAAGTGGCGAAATGGATCAAAGGGCGCAACACAAGGTGTTGCGGGGAGCGAGCAATGATGAGGCGGCGGCTCGCCGGGAGCAGAGTTGGGCAGGCGGGGGCGCGTGTGCCTGTGGCAGGGGCGGGCGTAGGGATGCAAGGGCCGCGGGAGCTGGCGCCCCGACCTTGGGGTTCTTGTGGGTCGCTGCCCTTCGGTGCAGGCAGCCGGCGACGAAGGACGGCCCCACGGCCTCGCTGGCGGCCAGCAGCATCTCAGAGGCGGGGCCCTGGGGTGGGAGACAAGGGGAGGCGAAAACGGCGCCGAGGCCGCGGTTGGTCACAGTGGTGGAGCCCGGGCTAAGCGCTCGGACCTCTCACGCCGTTCGCCTTGCGCCGCCTGTCATCTGCCGACGCGGCCCGCACTGGCGCTTGCAGTGGCTCAACACTGCTGCCGCACACATGGGCAAAGCATAACACCACACATCAACACACATGCACACAAACACTCACCTTGAGCTTGATGTCGGCCATCTTGTCGGTCGCGCCGCACACCGCCGCGAATGCCTCCCGCTTCCCAAACTCCGGGGCCGCCGCCGCCGCCTTGATTGCCTCAAACGCCTTGGCCATCACCTGCATTGCAGCGCAGCAGCAGCGGCAGCGCAACAACGGAGAAGCAAGGTCGTTGGGGGCGTGGCCACTGCGTGAGAGGCCCTGTCACACGCGTTCAATACTCGAAGTCTTGCAGCTGCATGCAAATCAGCTGCTGCTGCTCCTGTTTGTACATGCGATCCGGCTGGCCACATTTGACTCTCATCTTGATTTTGTTGATTTCGAAAGAGAAGCCTCCCACCTGGAAGTTCTTCTCGTCCCACCCGGGGATCTGCGCCAGCGCAAGCACCAGCTGCTGCGCGGCGCCGCCGGCGCCCGGCTCCTGGGCGCGCGCCACCACCGCCTCCATCGCCTCCAGGCGCGCCTGGCAGCGGCACGACACAGGAACGCAGCGTCGGTAATATATAATGCACCGTAGCGTTCAACCCTTCAGTCTCAAACGCATGCGTCCTTCGCCTGCCGACACCGAACGTCAATGCCATGGGTTCTAGGCGGCGGCAAGCAATGCGCGCCAGCGGCGGAGCATGTACAGGGCTGAGAGTGAGCGCCGCCTGCCGTGCCCGCCCACCTTCCACAGCGGGTCGCAGAGGGCCGCCGCGGTGCCCTCCCCGAACAGCTCAGTAAGCTTGGCCTCCGCCTCAGAGCGGTTGTAGGACCCTGGAGATTAATGGATTTTGTTGCCTTTTTGTCAGTAATGTGGTATGAGCCAACCACTCACTGCTTTGTGCAGCACGCTTGCGCTTGGCTGTACGCATGCAAGCGTCCAGCGTTGGGGACTAAAGCAGCTGCGCGCAAGGAAACAGCTGCAAGCAAACCCGGCAGGGAGGGGCGATGGCTGCACGCGCTGCTGCGCCTCACCTGCGCTCAGGGACCCCTCGTCCTCCAAAGGCCCACCGGTCGCAGCGCCGCCGCCGCCTGCGCCGCTCGCCGACGTGGCGCCGGGCCGCGGCGCAGCGCGCGCCGCGACCGGCTTGCTGCCGGGCCGCGCGGGCGGCGCGCGGGGTGCGGCCGAAGTCGGGGGGCGCGACCCGCCGCGCGGGCTGGTGGCCGGGGAAGCGTCGGCCTGTGGATTGCAGGGGGCAAAGGTCAGCATCCCCACGACCCAATCACAAGGGGCCGCAAATCACTTGTCCGAATGTCTCCCAGACACGACGACCCCACATCTTGTTGACAGAGGGGCTGGTGATGCACAACCACCTCATAACAACCTCAAGCCCTGCCGCGCGCCCCGCCTGCCGGCCAGCGCCCCAGGACCCACCGAGGGCGCCCTCGAGCCCCGCGCTGACGCAGACCCGTTCGCCTTCACCGCCGCCGGCGCCGCGGCACGCGCCGGCGCCGGCGCCGCTGCCGGCGCC